GATGCAGCCTCCACAAGGCGTCCATAATCCCTAATCATGGATCCGACCACTCTGAACATGAGCTTGGTCCTCAGTCGCTTCTCGAACTCCAGACAACGGCGCTCCTCAGTCGCCACGAGTTCTGGTGCAAACCTCGACAAACTAGTGAACGTGGCCTCAAACTCAGCCACTAGTGTATTCAGCTGCACCAACTTAGAAAACTGGTCTCTCAACTTCTCTCTAACAGTGGGAGGCAAAAACTTGTCCTAGAAGGCATTGACAAAAGCCTCCCAAGCCCCTCCAATGCGCCTTGCGCATACTTCCACCATTGACCCGCTTCTCCCATCAGTTGGAAGGATGCCAAGGTCACTCTCAAACCACCGTCTTTGATGCTAAGCATCTCAAACATCTTTACCATTTGCTCTAGCCACTTATCTACCTTCAATGGCTCCTTGGAATCACCCAAAAACTCGTCTGGACTCGACCTGAAAAACTTTCTCTTCAAGAAAGATGGCCCTACCTCAGCTATTTGGGCTTGGACTTGATTCTCAGCCCTGAGAATGTCCATAGATTCCCGCAAAGCTCCGACCATTTCACGGGGCTAAGGCGCCCATGGCCTGTTGACTAACCAGTTCAGCCACATTGGCCTGACCAACCCCTTCTTCTTGTGCAGGAATATTATCCGGTAGATGCATCTCATGCCTTCTAGGCCTACCACTACCATGTCCACGTCTTGATATCCTAATAAAGGTAATAAAAGGTATTAGCACATTTACAAATTTGCCGAAGCTAACTCACTCATGTCCTAATTCGATGAACAACAGTAAATCACTCTATATAAGCACGTAATCACATAAACTCATACGAATTTCCTTCCTAAATAATGATCGTCCCGCGACGTTGCTAGAGTTCCAATTGGAAGCAGCAATGATCAAGTGCTCTTCTAATAGGACGTCCAAAAACCCGTAGACCAAATTGATATCTTAGGAACTAAATCCCATACCCATATAGTCATATAAGCATGTTATCACATAAGTCTCAACAAAGCGAGACAAATCCATTGTGGTACTAACCACTTCCCACGTACCCAAAGTATTCAAACCCGGTACGCTCTGATACCAAGTTGTAACGCCCGCAAAAATAATATAACAAATCCAACTCATAAGCGGAAGAAAAATAGAAATAAAGTACTTTCATTCATCAGAGTTCGTATTACAAAAGATAACACATGCAATATACATTCATAAATGTACATCCTGAATCTATAGCATGTCATACCAGTTACTGATCAACAAAATAAATGCCCTGCGGCTTACATCTTTCCAAGACATTGCTTGGTTACAACAAAAGAGAGTCATAAGCTCTGTACGTATAAAGCCCTAGGCTTGAACGAACATTAAAATACAAAATAACATGAAAAAAGCCTTCGGCTCCAAGGTCCTCCCAAGCTACGTCCTTGGAGGGCGCATGTCACCGGTACCTGAAAATGGTTTCCCAAAATAGGGTGAGCCAAAGCCCAGTAGAAACAATCTAACATAATATATGAGGTTTAACGGAGGTATAAGTACGGTGTGCTTATGAAATGCTTGAAACAAAACATCCTTTTTATATTCCCATGAGAAGCCCAAATTCATATTTCAATCTGTTTTCCTTCAGTTTATTTACAGTCGATTTATATCATCTCAATTTATGAGACAATTTCATTTGTATTTCAACAATCCAATCGAGACTACAACTCAATGATTCTCCAATCAATGCAACCAACACATAAACACTTCTCTTTGCCATTTTACGAAAATTTTGTCTGCGGGAATTGGCACCCATATATATACAAGATTTTGGGACTTTCACCCTGGACAGTCCAACCAACTTAATTTTAATTGAGTCCATTCCCTATCTCCTCCCAAATAATGGAGTACATCCATTTTCTCCTCCCAATCAATCACACATATACAATGTATTTAAATATAGTCAATTTCAATGACAATTAACAAGAGGTTAGTTTCAATTCACCTAATCCTCATGCAATTTCTACAACAATTATGACTATCCTCCACCGATAGCCCAATACAGATATTTCTAAACAAATATTCAGTCTCAAGAAAGATAACTTATTTAAATTTCCATAAGTATGAGATAATATATATCCAATTCCACCATTTCTACCAATATCCATGCAATTTCATATCTGCAATGTCAATTTCATACATTTATGCAAAATAAGTATTCGAACCATTTAGGGCAAAACTCCTCCCATTTTTAAATAACAACCCAAGTGGCCCAAATCAAGCATTTGGCCACAATACAACCTTACATTTAACCCCATGACCATCTATTTCACATTTACTCAAAACCCCTCTTTTGATTTTTATATCCCAAACCCTAGGTTTGTTCATAATACTCCTAAGACCCATCATTGTTACACAACCACAAATAACTAAGTTAAAAACCATAACAAAGTGTAGAAATTCCCTAACTCAAAGAGAGAAGATGAGCCAAGCAATGGTAGAACTTCAAAGATGTCCAAACCCAACTCTATTCTGATCAAACTGTAGATCTTGAGATATTCTATCTTTTTAACAAAGGTGAATGGGTGGAGAAACCACTAGAACTAGGTAAAAATGTAGAGAGAGAGTGTGTTTTAGAAAGAGAAGGTCTCAGCTTTAGGTTTTAGGATGAAAAGATCTGAAAAAGTGATTTAAAAGTCATTTTCGCGATCTGATAATGCACAGTAGCGCAAGAGTTGATGCTCGAGCGTCAGACACAACAAGTTGTTCCGCTCGAGCGTAGAATACACACCTCCAATACTTTGCAGACAACAGAAAAACTACTCGAGCTTAAGAAGGGATGCTCGAGTGTAGGAAATGCCGCATGAGCATGGAAAATACCCCTCCAGTACTTTTGCAAATATGCAAAGTACTGAGAGTTTGCAAATCCTGCTCGAGCGCAAGAAGGGTCGTTCGTGCGAATGACCAAAATTCTAGGTAACACAAGGTTTGAAAACCAAGCAACCAACCTGTTCCAAACAAACTCAACACATCCAAATAACCAAATTTAAGGAGGAATAAAGAGGAAAAGACAATGAACGACATTCAGAAACCATAAACTCGAGTCCAGGCAACCACATGTGCCGAGTGAAAACCGGGATCGCTATACATTATTTTTATATAATTTTATATTTTGGGAGGGTAGAAATAATTTTTTTTAAATAAGTTTTTTAATTTATTTTCGACAAATTAGTTTCTATTTTTCAAAGTCAAACATGACATGACGACAACTTGGATGTCATTATTAAACCAATTGATTAAATGAAAATATTCAAGACTAAAAACATTTCATATATTAAACATATCGATTACACATTAAAAATCTAATAACCATCTATTACATGATAACTATCTAAAAATATCTGTTAACAACAAATACAATTTTTTATTACATGATAACCATCCAAAAAATCAACAAAAAAGACCACCCATTACATGATCATCATCCAAACATATACTAAAAATTAATTTGGTAAAAAAATTAAAAAAAAATATAAAAGATTTAACATTTTATATAATTTTATCTTTGGTGCGTAGAAATAATTTTTAAAATTTAAAAATAATTTTTTGACATTTTTTTTTTTGTCAAACTAGTTTATATTTTATCAAATTGATGACTTTGCCCTTGAAATAGAGCAACAATATCTTCAATTGTTTTTATTTAGAATGAGATTCAAAATTTAGAGTCAAATATATCACAATTAAAAGATATTATTTCATTTTTACCCCTATACTTTGTCACGTTTTTCAAAGACCCCCCCAGACTAGTCTTATTTTCACGCGTACCGCTATACTATGTGAATTATTTTCAATTTTACCCCTGTCGTCTATTTCTGTCAAGGAAGTGGATGGAATAGGTGACGTGGCCCCCTATACTTTCACATGGAGGGAAAATTAGGGCTTTCCCCCCAAAACCTAACCTTCCCTTCCCTTATATTTCCTTCAACCTATAAAAATAGAGACGACTACAAAAATAGAAGAAAACAACAGAGCATCAATGAAATCAGTAGGAGAGAAGAAGTGAGGAACAATCGAAGCTCAAGAAATCAAGGTAGATGGAACGCAAGTGGTGTAGACGAGATGTTTTGCAATGTTTGTGGAAGAAGAAGGTTGATATACAGAGCATGGACCGACACAAATCCTGAGAGGAGATTTCTTAGTTGCCCTAACAGTGGTTGCAATCACTTTATCTGGATAGACCCACCCATGTGTGATCGGGCAATGCAAATAATTCCTGGGTTGTTGAAGAAGTTGAATAAGATAGAAGCACAACTGAAGAGAAGGACTGGAAGAGAGAGGAAACTATGGATTTGCTTGGTTTTGTCATGGTTGGTTGTAGGAATATGGTTTGTATTGTAAAGTTTAAAGTTGTATGGTAGTGTAAGAATGAATGAAGTATGTATCTTGTTTATGAATCATATGCAATGGGTGAAGTGTTTTTAATAGAAAATATGTTTTTAAGATGAAAATTGTGTGCTTGGTGACTTATTAATGTTGTCTCGATTATTTTGTGTTTGGTGACTCTGACATAGACAAAGGAAACATACAGAACTAGGTACACAATCTATGACCATAATTGTCACTCCAAATTTAATGAACAATGAACATCACCAATGAACAATGAATATCAACAACTGTGAACATCACCAATGAACATCATGACTTGGAAACAACAACAAAAATACAGTAAATTATCATTCAAATGTTAATCAGTTGACACACTTGTCATTCATGTTGTGCAAAACATATACTAAGAAAGGGGCAGCCAATACAAAAACCAAGCTTCAAATGTACAAAACCCCCTACCACTATAAAGGTTATGGAATATGAACAAGAGTAGCAAAAACATTCACATCCATTACATTGTATTCCATGAACAAAAGTAGCAAAAACCTTCTCCAACATTTAAAAAAAAAAAAAAAAAACAACAACAACAACAGCAACAACAACAACAACAGTGGTCCTTCACATCCATTACTTTGTGTTAGTTGCATTCTTGGTTTGACCCACAACAGATTTGACAACACTAACATTGTACACCACTCTTCCTTTCCATCTCATTTGAGCTTGCAGAGGAATGTTAGTATTGGAAGTTACTGCAGACCCCTGCACATCCTGACTTGCATGCAATGAAGTTGAGTCACTTGTTCTCATAACCTTTTTCTTTTTCACCTGCAATGGCCATCATCATTGTTAGGACATATGCAAAGAAGACATCTGTAAATTAACAAATAGGGCCTTTGCAAAACTTATAGCCATCTTCTTCTTCCTAACTTGAGTTGCTTCTGTAACTTGACTCCCAACCAGGCTTCCTTTTACCTGACTTTGAGTTTGGCTCCCTTCAGTCTGGACCTGACATTGGCTTCCTTCATGCTGGGACTGCAAAAACTAAAAAACAAAAGTTAGCAATGTGTAAGTTAACAAAATGCAATAAAAATATGAATTACTTGACTGGAACTCACAGGATCTTTTAGGTAGGTGAATTGGCCTTTGACTTTGCATGTCCTCTTGTTGTGTCCCAACTTGCCACAATTCTTGCATGTCATCTGAGTTCCCCTCTTTCCCAGCTTACTTGAATCAGTTGCATCAATTGGGACATCTGTGTCCGTCCTCTTATTCAGTCTTGGCCTCCCAGCTCTCTTATTCACATCAGGTGGTAGCACTTTACCATATTGAGTTGTTGGCCACATTTGTCTACCATTGATTGGAGTCAACATGTTCTCATAAATCCTCAGGCAGGTTTCAAGTTTATAGTAATGATGTACATAATTTTCTGGTTCTTCACCCATATAGTTTGTAGCAACCACAACATGGACACAAGGAAGGCCTGACAGATCCCATTTCCTACATCCACAAGTCCATTCTTTGAAGTCCACCTTATATTGCTCACCATATGGGCCAACAACTTCATATTGGGAACCCCCATTCCATCTAGGAATCCATCCAGCTGCACTCACCTTTACCTTTTCCAAAATCTTCTGAATCTTAGGACATATATCACTTTTGTTATACATTTTCATTGCTTCATTTCTTTTTTTAACTGCTCCCATCAACAAAACTCTTATATTCTCTAACATGGACAACACAAGTTGATCCCTAGCCTGCAATATGCTTGCATTGAAACACTCACAAAGATTATTCAACAAAATGTCGCACTTGGGGAAACTGAAGAAGTGACTCCTACTCCAATGGATTGGGGCTCTTCTAGACAACCAATTGTATGCTTGTTCATCAACTCCTTTCATTTCTTCCATAACTTTGGTGAATACACCAACAGTGCTTGTCCTGGTTGCCTTCCATAACAAATCCTTCAATACCCTACCCTTAAATTGACTCTTGGAATTGTTGTACAAATGCCTTACACAGAACCTGTGTGAGGCATTTGGAAAAAGCTCAGCCACTGCATCAATTAGGCCATTCCGTTTGTCACTCATGAAAGTGTAACAATGAGAATTCACAATATTCAAGTCTTGCCCCAACAAATTCAGAAACCGCAACCATGTTTTGTTCATCTCATTCTCAACAATGGCATAGGCAAATGGGAATATACAATTATTTGCATCTATCCCCACTGCAATCAACAACACTCCACTATGTGGCCCCTTCAAATGACAAACATCCACTCCAATGACTGGCCTACAAGTATTTTGGAAACTCTTCTTCAATAGACCCCAACACAAATACAATCTCTTAAACTTGGACATTTGCTCATCCTCTTCATGAACTTTTGGAACTTCTTTCACCTTCATGGAAATTGTTGTTCCTGGATTACTACTTCTAATCTCTTCTACATAACCCAAAGCATTGCAAATTGTTCAGTTGTAGTACCCTTAATCATTGTGAGAGCCTTAATTTTTGCCCTTCTCACTTTCTGCAAGTCAACTTTGACATTGTGCTCTGTTGTAATGGTGTTTGCCAATGACTTAATTGGCCAGGTAGGGTTTGACCTAATCTTTTCCCAATACTTATTGACAATCCATCTACTAATCACATGGGGCACATCAAATGTTCTGTTACATGTGTGTTCATCTACAAAAGTTTTGATCCTGAACACCTCTTCACCCTTTACAAAAGAAGCATAGCAAACCCATGGATAACTAGGTTTGCACTCTGCCCTAACCCTCTGTTTGTCACTCTTAGTGAATGTGATTTGTTTTTCCCACTTAATAGTATACTCCTTCACAGAATCTCTAAACAACACATTTGTTTTGAACTCCATGCCAAGTTGGAATGTAGGATTATGCATGTCGCTCTCACTGAAAATAGGGTACTTAATCCTAGTGTAATGACTATCTTCATCAAAGGAGCTATGAAGGCTTCTTAGCTTATCAAATGAGTTGTCCATGCTTTGTAGGTCATCATTGTTAGCCATATCACCCATAGCATCCTTACTACTTCCTAAACCACCAAATTCCACATCTTTGTCAACATGTTTATCATATAAATCATCATTATCACCTTGCTTATAGTCAGTGTCATTATATTTTTTAGACTTATCAAAGGATGAGTCTGACTGGTTAGGATCATAGGCATCACTATCTTCATCTCCCTCCAATTCAACGTCAAGCATTATCCCCTTACCCTTACTTGTTTCTACACTTGAGCCTACTTGACTACTTTGTGTACTTACATAATCATCCAAATTGTGTCCTATATAAACATCTATTACTCTATTTTCATCCACATATGTGTCTAACACCAATACATCAGCATCAGATTTTAGTAACTCCATCCCACCATAACCACTAACCTTACTGTAATAGTTATTACATGGCATATGTCCTAATTCCTTAGCCATGTAACACAACTTTGTAATGGAAATTTGATCTGAATGACAAAAGTCAAAATGACTTACCATACCACCACTGTAAACCCTCTGTGGAATATACCTCACCATACCTCCATGGTGCATTTTGATTGTAAAATACCCAGATCCATCTTCTGTATTTTGTGTTAGAAATGTGTCATTAACACTACTATTCAATGGAACTCACAATGATAAAATCCTATTACATTACACCACAGATAGATAAATAATAAACAAGCAGTCATCCATGTGAAATACAAACAACCAAAAAAACAAAGATTTCATATGTGTTCATCAATATCAAACAAACATAAACAAAGATTTTCTTAAAGTAAAATTGTTCAAACCGAAACAAACATAAACAAATTTCATTAACAAATCCATGTCACATACAAATAAACAAAGATTTGACCATTCTAAAATAATATTAACATTTATAATTAAAAAACACATACATACCACATACAAGTGTTTGTCTTCCTCCACCATTATTCTTCTCTTTTAGCACCCAACCCATCGTTCAACCTTTGATTTCAATGTGATTTCACAGTTGTTGTTCACTCTTAGCTTTGATTTTTGAATTTTGAGAGCAAATTAAAAACCCTAATTGCGATTTGGGGAGTTCTAAGCAACCATAATATATGTAACCTGATTGTGATCAACCAAGTCGTTTAATTTTCCCTCTATGTGAAAGTATAGGGGGCCACTTCACCCATTCCGTCCACTTCCTTGACGGAAATAGATGGCAGGGGTAAAATTGAAAGGAATTCACATAGTATAGGGGTACGCGTGAAAATAAGAGTAGTCCGGGGAGGTCTTTGAAAAACGTGACAAAGTATAGAGGTAAAAATGAAATAATCTCCAATTAAAAGGTCAAAAATTAATGTGATACAAATCTCAAATTATAAGTGCCATTAATGTAATTCGCCCTATATATATATATACTAGTTAAAAATTGCCCATGCAAGGCACATGCACAGGGTATTTGAATTTTTATTTTTTTTTTATAAATTTGGTTTTGATTTTTGACTTCGCATTTATTTTAATGAAATAAAATATAATAGAATAATTATTTTATTGAGAGTGTAAAAAATAATTATTTCATTTCATTCTACCTAAATCAATGGCATTCCACCTCTATTTCAATCAATCAAACATTATTTGAGATTATTATCTAAAAATAAGAATATTCTTCAAGGAAATGAATAGAATAAAAGATTAACACTCCGTTTGTTTTGATGAATGTGCCTAATAATTTTATTAAAAAAATCATAAGAATTATTTTCTTGTATTTAATTTTTTTAGATTTGTTCTTATATTTAATTTTGACCTTTAAACTGATACTTTAATAGTTATATTAATGGTAATAGTGGTTGGGGGTAGTGGGGTTGCCAAGGTGGAGGGGATGGAGTGACACAAGTAGAGGTAAGGGGTAATTCATTAATTTTCTAAATAAATACATAAAAATATGTTTTATTTTTTTAAATATAATTTTTTTTGATGTTATTTACAAAAATAATAGCCACAAATTTTATATAAGAATCAATTTTTCCCGCTATAGCTGAGTACTTCCTGAATATCATGTGGCATTGCCTATGTAATGGTACAAATCAATAGTGTAGCGAGGATTTTTATGAGTGAAACATAATGACTCATCTTTACTAAATAAATGAGAGACATATAGACTGCAACTTTTCACTTGTCAGGAGTGCCAACTCCATGTACCCAATGACATAATAATTCCGCGCTTCATTCAATTCATTACAATGCATTTTTTATCATTATTTTGGTAAATAAAAAATTAAAATAAATTTTTTGATAGAATAAATTTTTATTCCACTTTAGTCTAATAAATGAATAGCAATGCTACACACATAGTGGGTGGAACACAGAAGCCAAACGTAGAAAATTGTTCACTGGTCGTCCACTGAAACGACCGCCAGAACGACCATAAGACACCATAATAGTCGCAGTCGACAAGCTTAACAATCGTGGCCGACACCATAACAGCAACGGTTGACAACCTCTATCCAATCGTCCGGATAGGCTACCGGTGAACAGTTTTTGTGTTTAGTTTCTATGTTCTATCGTTTGTGCTCTTAAACTTCTTGATAAACTAAACACCACCCAAAACTATCTGATAATTTCCAAAATGATAATATTTTGGACAACTATAATAAAAACAATTCTATTTTGTCTTTTAGCATTAAAAAAAAATAAAAATAAAAAAAGGCAACTTAACACAAAGATATTTTTAATAATATGCACGGCTCTCTAACTAAGAAAGAAAGAAAAGCAAGCAATTTATCATCTAATACCATAAGCGAAAGGTGTACCGCATTAGTGAATTACAAAACGAGAACCGAATAGCTAATGGAGGAGGCATTGAATAAAGAACAATTATGAAATGGTTGACCAAAGCAGAAGTCTTTGACTGTGAAGCAATTCTTATATTATACTAGTTTCAAAAGGCCCGCTATTATAACAGTATATTTAAATTTTATATTTTGATAATTTTTTTAAAATTAAAATATTATTTTATGTAATAAAATAAAATAAATCATTAGATATATGATAAACTTATGTGGTAAGATATGTAATATTTTTTGATTTGTTATATACTTAATAATGTAGATTTCAATTCTATTACCATATCATTTTAGGTGAATTTATGAGTCTTTAACATTTTTTGAAATTTATAAAATAAAAAATTTATGGTGTGTAACTTTTCTCAACAGATAAATATAAAACAAATACTAAGATAATTCTCTCATTTTAAAAAAAAAAAATTACTAAGATAATTCACTGAATTAATAAGAAGCAGAAGAATATATATATATATATATATACAAATGAGTAATTTTATTAATACATACATCATACTCACATAACAAATGACCAATTTTATTAATAAATAAATATTTTTTTTAATACACATTTTCTTACAATCATTTGACACAAAATATAAAAATAAAATTTGTCATTTTGATATAGACTGCACCATTTTAAAAATAACTGAATTTATTGTGCATCTTTTGAATACTTTAATTTAATATAAAAATCAATTCAAATCATTTCCATATCTTTTCTTATTCATTCTCTTGCTTTGATTGATTTGTAGTGTTTCTTGACAAGAATGATGCAAGTCCAAAAGGCTAATGAATTCAAATGGAAGAAAAATAGAAGGAAAGAGAAGTCTACCTAGAATCTCTTTGTAATGGCTAGTTTTTTTTTTTTTTTTTTTTTTTTTTTTTTTTTATAACAGCTATAAAAGAAGCTTTGTGGAGAAAAGAAAAGACAAAGAAGTGAAGTGAAGAAAATTTGTGATATTGAAGAGTTCATAATATTGTGTGGTATTTTTTTATTGAGTTATATAATTTTCTTTGTGAAATTTATTGAGTGTTTGAGCTTTTATTGTAAAAAGATTTCCAATCCCTTATCATTTTTCTAGTAAAGAGAGTTACATTTTTGTGAGTGATTTTTTATTTAAAATCACTTGGGTTAAGTGTAACTAGCATCGGATTCACAATTAGTTGGTTGGAGTGATCAGGGTTGATCAATTATTAAGGTTCACTAGCACCTGTAAAGCTAGGAATGTAATTTCTATTTGACTCATAGTGAAGAACTCTCAAGGAAGATCTTGAGAAGTAGATGTAGGCTTGGTTTGAGCCAAACCATTATAAATTCTGTGGTTGTATCCTCTTCCCATCCTTTGCTTAATTTATTTTTATTAGTCTCATTTATATTGCATCTATTTCTTATTTGGATTATATTTTAATTTATTACTCATCTTTATTGTTTCATATTGTTAATTGTTTATTATTTCGGTTAACTTTTGAATTTAGTAATTTATTTAAGAAACCCAATTCACCCCCCTCTTGGGTTGCTTTCTGGATAATGTTAAATCATTAAGTCAGTTAAAATTTTTTAATGATATGAGAAATATTTTTCAATAAGCAATTTTGATAATTTATTATTGCATATGAGAATAATTTTTTTCTTTCTTTTGAGTATTGTGTTAAATTAAAATTTATAACAAACGATAGTTATAATTTCTAGTATTGTAGGACCGATTCATATTTTAACAAACCTTATGGATATATTTGTAATTTGTTAAAAAAATAAAAGATTTATGTTTCATAATTGACCAAAAATATTTGCGTAATTATAAAAAAAAACTGTTTCATAATTGACCAAGAATTTTTGTATAATTATGAAAAAACCTTCACCAACATATATACCACCATTAATAAATTATTCAAAATAAAATAACAAAATTGGAAAAATAAAATGATGAATTTCCAGCAAGTAGGCGGTTATTATTTATATAGATATATATAAGGGAAATTACATGTAAGTGGGAGTTGGGAAAAAATATTGTCAATTGATAGAGATGTGCAAGTGACACTTTTTTTTTTTTTTTTGATCGGCAAAAGAAAAGCTTTATTGATGAAAAACATAACAAGTATGATAACATACATCAATAAAGAAGAGGGTGCAAAAAGCATCACAGTGAAACATTTGGATCCCAACTAGGTTGGCACCAAAACGCACACCCAATCATCTGCTAGCACACACTCGAGGCTCCAAGATGGTGAGAAACCAACAAACAGAGCAGAACAAAACAAGACAAAAACAAGAAGACAACAGCCAAACACTAGCAGACCATCCCCAGCCACTGACATGCATAATTGAAGACTACTGACTGTCTACATGCTAACACAAAAACGCTTACATCCATACAAACCCAGATTTCAACACAAAGCAGCTCGGAACAGTTAAGAACATCCTCTGATTTGACGCCAATTGAAAATTAAATCATCAACGGAATAAGGAAGATCTTTAGTAGATGCTTTCAGCCAAAGTACTGCTCTAATTTTGATATTTTCACTCAAGCCAGAGAGACTAGGTTGAGCCTCTGCAAAGACACATTCATTCCTAAGTTTCCAAAGCGACCAAAGAACAATAAGGGGGATGGCTCTCCAAATTAACCTATCAAAATTTTTGAGCTTGACAGTCATCCACTATTGGAGGAGATCATCCACTGATCCTTGAATGCACCAAGAGAACCCCCACTCATTAATTATAGATGACCAAATCAACCAAGAAAATGGGCAATGTAGCAAGATATGGACAGCAGATTCAGGTTCAGAACGACAAAATGGGCAGATGAGCGAAGCAGAAGCATCTAAGATGCCAATTCTGTGCATAAACACTGCTGTCTTGATTTTGTTTTTCCAGGCCAGCCAAGTAAAGAATGAAACCTTAGGGGGGACAGCCCCGTTCCAAATATGCTTGCAAATGTTAAAATGAGGCCCTAGGATAGAGTTAGAGGCAGAGTAGAGAAAGGACACGGAAAATACACCAGGACTTGCAGATGCAGAAGCCTAGATAAGATGATCAGCCCTGCCAATTGACAATGATGGAGCTGAAGATAGTAGACCAAGTAAGTTAGCTTCTTCTTCCAATTCCCAACTGAAAAGCACTCTCCTAATAGGAAAATTCCAATTGTTTGGG